ATTCCGACCAATATTATTCTGCCTAATTTTGCTGTTAGGCGATTTTACAGAAGATAAGATAAGAAAATAAATATCCAGTTTACCTCTTGCACTCTTCTAGATCGATGCTACAGAAAAAGCTGAATTTATTATCAAACTTTAACAGAAAATTTAAAGCTGGCAAAATTAACATTTACGCATTCCGCCATGTTTTTATCCACAGAAGGATCTTTCCGAGCATTCCTATAATTTCCTACACATTTCAGAACGTCTCGTTCTTTGTTCTCTTTGATTTCTCACTTCTTGCTTCCAATCGCCTCCATTTCAATCGATGGATTTCCATCACTACAACTCTTCCCTTCTCCTCAATCACATGTATAATCCTTGATTCCTAACGGCTTCCCGCACAACAAATTTTCCTTTGTTGGCAAAGTCATCCTTCAAAATCTTCTCACTTCTTGCCTCTCTGCCTTAAGTGCCTGCTGAAGAAAATCTGAGTACTTTTTGACCTTGTATTCGACAAGAAAACGTAATGAGCATTAGCGGCGTGAAGCTATTTCCACTTTGTCGATTTCCTTCGAGGGCTGTCGTGGCAAATGTGTCTTTTCCGCCAAGAGATAATCAACTGCATGTGCCGTCGTCTCTTGTTATCGTCCCTCAATGAATGTGTCAAACAGTGTCATCTGTACTTCACTGCGATCGTTTTTCCCCAAGACAAGTACATTGTGTAGGAAACGTCTTGGAAATGGAGGACAGTTTAAAGAAGGGGAAAATATCTAAGTATTCCAGATCAGGAAAGAGTAACCAACGTTTTTATAACATAACTTTCTGTACATCTGTTTTTTGTATTTCTTAAAGCATTTCTGTAAAATTCACAACAGTGCTAGTCAAACTTAGTTAGGTCTATATTGAACAACCACTGCTTATATATCATTTTCAACTATAAGTTTGCGATGCCCTTCAACGCGTCGATTTCGGATTGTCAGATTCGCATCCCCCCCTCTCATTCTCAAGTCAGCCACTAAAGAAACATCGAGCCCACCGCAATCATTGCCTCTCCACCAAGAGAGCCCCGGGCCCGGCGGGCTGGCAAGCACGCCACATCTTACTGAAGTGGAAGCATTCTCCGGACATTCTACCCTCGTATACATATGAACCTTTTCATGTTCTGCGTCCGATTGAGTTCGTCAAGCGATACTTCTAGCGTTCATAAGAAAAAAAGGCTGGCAAAGGTGTTGACATTTTCACAAACGGTTGCTTGTTGTATACCAAGCCTGCCTTCTCGAGACGGTAATGGCTGTATGAGGGCACATTTGAGTTGCCTGGAGGAAATGTTCGTATTCAAGAATAGATAAGCTTACGAGACGCATGGAAATAACTATCGTCATGTTCGTTGCAACAACCCTTGTTGCAAGTGATCCACGCCCTTTTGGAGTCAAGAGTTGATTAGAATGCGGTGCCGCGCTGACTTGCCAAAATGTTGGTCGCCGTTTAACTTTAAATTATTCGGGCTATCAAACCATGATCAAACATACAAGACTGTTTCTGTCAATTTACGGCAAGTATAAAAACAATTTACTGCCCATTTCCTATTCAAACATGTTTGTACTCAACTGTAATTTACATAGCTGCAACACTCGTGTGTCTACTAACTTACATTTCCACATACCGCAATATAGAACATCTGCCTTTCAATACAACATTAAATACTCCGGATCTAGATTATGGAATAATCTACCATTCTCTCTTAGATGTTCAAGGTCATAAACTATTTTTAAACGCAAACTTAAATTGTACCTTATGTCATGTAATAGATTTTATTATATTTAATATGTCTCTGGGCTTGGACTTTGTATGGCGATCCTACTCGTAGCCCAATATTATTATTTTTCATAACTTTCTTTACTGCTTAGAAATAATAGTTGTTTATCTGTAATAATTCGTCTGTTTTTTTGTGTAATGGCATGCTTGATACAAGTTATGCTTTCAAGGTTTTGCCACCTCAAGTGGCCTTTATATCTTCTTCAATACTGATATTATTTTTCATTTCTGTCATGAAGAGGAAACAAATGTGTTTGAATTGAAATTGAATTGAATTGAAGTTCTTGTATTGATGTGCTATGTTGTTATTGAAATCTTTTTCAGTACATGTATATGGCCTACAGCCACGTTAATTTTTTGTGATAAATTGACAGGGAGGTGCTAGAAATGTAAATTGACACAATATTGCTGTAGTAAGGTCACCACAATTTCACCGTAAATTTATTGGGCCCCTGCTGCTTTTGACGTAGACTGACAGACTATTAAATACACGTCTGGTCCATCGTCTATTTGGTCACAATCTCAAACGGCACACTTCATTAAATGTCAAGCCACTCACACACATTTGAAGGACTCCCATTGACATTTGCGTTAGGACTGGGAGAGCCATTGAAAATCGACATCCGGGAACTAAGGCGTCAAGATGAATGGTGAATAATTTAAACCAATTGATTGATTCCACCGAACAAAATAAAATATTGACGACTGCATTAATTTTGTTGCATAATTGGTCAGACATTTAGCGCGTTATCATGAAATTGAATGTTTGTTAATTTTATCGGCAATTTTCAATTCAGTGACGATTTGATATGAATAATAGATGCATCGTGAAGTTGTTATTGGGGAGAAAATAACGTATTTGGAGGAAATCGTTGGCATAGAAACGTGGAAGGTTTGTTCTGTCTGTAGTAGTAAGGGCAAACGTACACCATTTTTAATTGATCATACACAATTTACTCCTAAAGGCTTATCGTCCTTTGAATACTTTGCATAATTATGCATCGATTTTCCCTTTTTTGATTCCTCGTCGATATTTTGTCGTGAAATGGAATGATGAAGTCACTCAAACCCTGAGGCATATCTGTCTAGACATCGCATTATCTGTACGTTATGAAGGAGCTCACTGCACTTTAAGATGCCCATATTTAGCAACATCTTAAGATTAGCGTCAATTAGGGCATGGAAGCCTGCCGGATCAGACGAAAGATTAAAGTAGATGGCCTACAGGTAGAAAATGTTCAGAAATACGCGAATCTGCAGGTCAGCGTTTCAATTCAACTAAGTGCAGACTCGTGTGTGAACTGAACCATTAAAATACCCATCACAAGACACAACCATCACATGTAAAATAATTGCGCACCAAATGGTCATCTTCTCAATTATACTGTATCTCTAGAATGCGTCTTCAAACGAGGCTATCATCTCGTCTATATTCATTTAATAAATGCAACAGTTTTCAAAATCCTGTGTAAAAATGCACTTCATGTCCGAATGACGTGTACAAATTTGATCGCAGTCAACTGTAGTTCTCCAACGGGAGTCTGTGTTCTAGCGTACTTTAAATTAAAACACACTGTTTCCGAACTTTCTTAAAGAAGTACGGTACTGCTCGGAGAATTGGTGCACGTTCCAATTCACCGCTGTGATGAGAGCGTACTTCAACCTCGTTCTCCAGGAATCCCCTGTCAATCATTCTGCATAAACAACCTAATCTGCGAGTGCAAATTATGGTATTGACGCCCCTTGAGACTTATGAACATCCATCGCAAAAATCTGCTCCTACTTTTGTTTTCAATTTGAGAGAGGTACTCCGACTGAAGACAGTGTCGGTCCCCATGGGAACGCGTCAGAAACGGTCAAGCACTCGACGGGGGTTTGTTATCATACCCGACGGCTGTTTGTGGAAGGGATGTTTACGTAAACCACAGCGCTTTATTAATTTTGATATAGCTTTATTAATTTTGATATAGCTTAAGGACTTCAGCTTCAAACACTGAAATCTTCAAGGAACTCAAAGACACTTCATCAAAAAAAATGTTGTTTTAGAATGCGAATGGATCACGAAAAACGATTGTTTTCCGTGTCAGGTTTGTAAACCTTCCCATGCAGGATATTTCGACAGATATAAGTTAAATATTAACTTTAGATAAAAAGGATTACCGATGGCAATAAATGATCAATGTTGTTGTGAGTTATGTGCAGTTCTGAGACGAAACCGTATACATTCAACCTTTCGAATTGATCGTCGTATGAAGACGAACGGAACATACTGTTCGAAACGTTGAGTTTACACAGGTTATCGCATAACACACACAAGTCCACACTTGTCATTGTGTACCCAGAATAATATCTATTCTTCTAAATGCCAACTTCACTCGGTAGATCGTGTGATTGATATAAGCCTGCAGTATTCCAACATTATTATGTATCTTGGTCACTTCAGTCATTCGTGTGTGCAGTCATGACACGCAGTGGCCTAATCCCAAGCTCACGATAGCAATTATCAAACTTTCCCCGCGGCAAAACAAGATGGAGGTTTTGATTCGCGCCTAACGTTATTACTGCGTCCATTGGAGACCGAGCACACGGACCCCTAATGCGATCAATTTGTTTTGAAGGAGACCAGTAAACTATCGTATTTTTCAATCATCAAGATTGTTGTTTTTCAACAGAGCATTGGCCACTGTGACACGACGATAATTCGTAACAGGGAAAGTGTTTTCACAATTTTGGAGTACAACTAATTATCTGTAAGAAGCGTGGTTCACGTAAAATGTTCCCTTTCTCCTGATGTATTGTATGCCTTCGAGGGACAGAAAACAAACAAGATTTTCAGGATGTCCAATTTGTTGAAAGGATTAAACTTGTCATCTTGATTAGATAACTCGTTGATTTGAAAAGCGTAATAACATTACTGCGTAATTACCTATTGGCATTTTTTCTATCATAACAAGCAGTTGTATGTTGAAATGTACACAACATGAAGATCTCAAGTAGTAGACATGAATTTTTTTTTAATTTCCGAGGAACGAAATGAGATTGAATGACACAGGAAATGTACGTTTAGTGCATAATGGTTGGGCATATGTAATTCCACACCTGTTTTCGACTCCATAAACTACGCTGTTTGCCATTTTAAAATCAAAAGTTTTAATGCTTGCGGGTTTATTTTTCTGTCGTTGTTTTTTTTTCTTCTGCAGTCAAGATGAACTCTACGTGCTCTGGCAGAAGTTGAGGAACGACGAGCCGGAACTGCTTTTGGTGTTTCAGAATTTCCTCTGCAAGGCTGTGTCGGAGATACAGATAGTGCACGACAAATGCGACACCCTCGTAAAAACGTACGTATTATGTAATCGGCCTTCTGCACAAGTTGGCCATTGTTGTCGTGTTCCCTGAATTTTGTAATTGTAAACTGTTGAATGGTATGGTGCCAGACTATTTAGTCACTATGGCCTCGCTTTCATTTTTTTTAAATGTGGCTTAAAACATTAGAGTATGTTTAATCACACATTTTGAATTATTCATCAAAGCAGGCTGGTATTAATTTGTAACGTCATTGCTTTCTACACAAGTTCCAATAATGAAGATTTTACCTCACTGTCAATCCAATATGGCAGACTCGTGAATAAACCCATTATCTTTTCGAATGGTAAACTCACGATTAGTTTGCAACCAACCATTTTGTAACTGGCACAAAAGTGTTCCAAGAAACATTCGATAACGTCCTTTCATTTTTCATCTTTCTCTGTCTGTGTGCAGTAAGAATGGCATCCACACGGACGAGATGCGTCGATTATACGAAGAAATGGAACAAATCTTACAGCAGGAGAGAGAGGCGCTTAAAGTCAAGGTAAGAAACTTAACTATAGTCTTCTAGACATTTGAACGCCCAAAGTGACGACTTAGCATTGATTGAACTGCGTATATGCCTAATCAAAATGGCAATTAGGTATCTAGTTAGGCAACTGTCTTATACCTTTGACATTCTTGGGTAGAGATAACAGAATATACTTTTTTTTAAATGTGTTATATTTAGATTTTTTTGCCTTTTTTTCCTTTTTTCTTTTAGTACCAAGAAGAGCTCCAGGCAGAGATGGACAGATGGCTGGAAGAAAAGGACCATGAAATGAAAGACATCCTCCAGAAGAAGAAAGAGGTATTCGCTACGTTCAGAACAAAACCTAAGCACATAAACCAGGTCTTATAATCTGGAGACAAAATGGTTTCATCCTCAAAAAAATATGAGTTGTGTAAAGCCATTTTGTGTCCAAAATGTGTGACGCATCATCTGATTCTACATGGCCTATATTCTAATTCAAAATGTTGTTGAGGCTAATGCGGCCGCACGGTGGCAGCAAACACCATTATTCAAATAATGTTGTTGTTTTTTTCAAGTAATCTTTTCAAGTAATTCGTGGGTTGGTCGCCAAGTATACCAGTGGTTTCAAATCTATTTTGGTTTACTTCATTTTGGGATATCTTGACTGATTTGATTGTTAACACACGCCGACACTTTAATCGTATGTTTTCATATTTCGCAGCTTGAACAATCGTTACAGGAGTTGGACAGAAAAGAAAAGGAAAAAGCTCTGCAAAACCAACAGGTAGATCCGTCTTAAACAATTGGATATCATTAATTTGTTACACTAACATTTTATTTAAAGCAATTGCGAACTCGTCATGAATCACCGAGTCAAGTAGCATGTCTCATCAGGGCCACCGTACAATGCCTAATTCGTAAAATGCCATTTTGTGCCTATCAAATTAAAAAGGGAAATTCAAACCGCATAATGCTTTCGATCAAATAACGACGAATAAATAAAAAAGAAACAAAAAAATACCAATTTGGATCGGTTGCGCTCGCGAGGTTTCTCAAGTTGGGGATATTCTAAGTTTTCCTCAGTTTGAGAAACATAATCGGACACAAGTCATTTCACCACTTCTATTTTCTTCCCCTTATTTCAATGTAACAGTATTTTTCATGATGAAGATAAGACTAACAGCGCTTCTGGATAAAATGGAATTTCTTGAGTTTCCAAAAACGTATGGACTTTCCGGTTTTCATCGATCCGGAGGCTAGGACCAGTAAAATATGGATCCTCTAAATCTGAACTTCGTGTCCATGCAGCGCTGTCATTTAACATTACTTTAGTCTCTTGGGTGCCAACGGCTGTATTGTGACCATTAATAATACAATCAAAATATTGATATTGCCAATTTGTTTCATGAAACGGTCGGAAGATTTTACACGATCTGTGAGATGTCAATGAACTTTTCCACGCCCTTCCTGTTAAAACTTCCAACCTACGTTCGCGTGGATTTCATTTTTAAAAAATCTAAAACTTACGACAAGGTAAAAGTTTCCATATGTCATCATCAAGTCTCGATGTATGTTTTCCCCGGAGAAGAAAAATCTAAAAGGGTAACCAAAGAAATATACCGATTACTCAGTTTACTGGGAAACCACTTTGTACCGGCAGATAAATCACCGGACCGTCTTATCTGTCCCTCTGGGTTTCTGTAAGTTGGAAATTTAGAGGTGGAAAACATGCTGTGGAAGCAATACCTCTAGAATTATGTTACCTCGCAATGTAAAGACATGACTGAAGTGTAACCAATATTGGTTACTTAGAACGCCATAGGCGGAGGACCTTTAGGATAGGTCTACAGCGATTTAATCAAATTGCAGATGTACTTTTGTTAGGAAGGCTGTTGGGGCTTCACTGCTGATGCTTTAACTCAATGTGGTTTGCATCTTTTCAGAAAACGGATGCATCCCGCGTATTTTAAATTGCCCCTTTAAAAACACAGTGGCCGTCAATTCTCGAGGAAAGGAACTTTTGTGAGGCAACTTTTATACGGTTGACTTGTGTTAAACTATACAGGATGTTAATCCTACGCTTCGCCCTCGTTTTTAGAACCCACGGTTTACAGAAATGTTAATTTCAGGAGCTATTTTCTTTATTGTAAACTTTGTATCAAAGAGGGTTTTTCATTTGCTTCTTTCTTCAGCTTGAAACCATGGTGATGGAGCTGAGTCGACACGAAGCCAACATCGTCGCTGAGAACGATGACCTTGTCAAGGTGAGATTAGTATCCGATAGAGGAAGCTGGGAAAAAAATAGCGGATGTAGCCAAAAAAATCCACCTAAACGATACTTAGTTTTTCGGGATAATGTAGTGACAAAGAGATCTCGGTTTGAAAATTATCATGTTATCACATCGACAGAAAGCTGATTTTTAGTAAAAAATAAAACAAGTTTGTGAAACTCAAATCAATTAGCAGAGGTAACAACGAATTTTCAGTCGTGTTTTTTTGTGGGGCTTTTTTTGTAGGATGAAAATCGCATGACTACATTTTAAAACCTGTTTCACTTTATTTAGTTCGTTTATTTATTCGGCCTTTTTCTTGTCTTGTAGGAAAACACGCAGCTGCGCATGCGCCTTGACCAGTCCCTGGCGGGGTTAAATGAAACCCAGCAGCTGTGTCTTCAACTACAAGACGAGACGGAGCGAGAACGGGAATTCATCGAGAGGTATGTCGGAAGGTAGTTATCCCCGACGACTGTTTTCTTCTCTTTCCATCGGCCAATTAAAAAAAAAATCACAGATGCGCAAAGCAAATTTTATTTTCTTTAAAAGAGTTGCTCTTTTTAAGAGTTGCTCTTTTTAAGAGTTGCTCTTTTTGTTTACGAGTTAACAAATTTTGCTGTCTCATTTCGTAAGCGAATTCTATTTTATCTTTAAAAAGCTTTGCTCTTTTTTTTTACGAATAATAAAAAAACCCAGAAAACTATTGTTTTCTTATAATCGTAAATGCTTATAATTTGTTCTGCTTGTGCCATTTTTATGTATAGAACTACGACGTTCAAGCAAAAAATGCTATTCCTTGCTCCCTATTTTCCCGACAGTTTTTTTCTTGGAAAATTAAAAAAAAAAATGGTGGCATCTTTCGTTATTTTGCAGTTATTTTTAAAAATACTGAATACCATTTTATTTGTATTCTTTTTGGCCTTTGGAAAGTGCACCCTTTTCCCTTCCCTTCACTTGGCACTAAAACCTTCCCTTTATCCATCCCGTCTCACATCCCAACTCCCTTCCCCTTCATCACTTTGCTAGAATTCTGTCTTTCTTCCTTTGCAGTTATTTTATGATCATGATTTTTGGTGCGACCATTAAGAAAAATGTAGTTTATCATAAGTAGACTTTTCTACACACTTTCAAGTTTCTGTTTGAAATGATTGGTGCGGTCAAGTAAAATTTATTGCTTATTTACTTTTTCTATTCATCGACAACAATCAACTCTCAAAATTACAGCAATTAAAAGCGTAAAATAAAAACGAATGGCATTCATTTGCGATAAGCCGTTGAGCAACCATATTTTTCCTAATGGTCTAACACGGTGTGTGCATATTCTGCATAATTATGTGTTACCTTAAAAAGATTCTGACGATTTCTAAAGCTTCAAATTATGTCTAATTATGCATGTACCAGTTGACGAAGACTTTCCAATTTTGACCGCCACCTCTCACCTTTTTTTTAGTTTGCTTTCGCAAAAAAGTAATGTTATTTTCAATTTGCAATTCATTTCCAAATCTGTTTTGTTTTCACTTTCCGAGATCGACTTATTATCGACTGAACATAGACACCTTTTTGTTTTTACAAAAGAAGTTACAGGCCTTTTTTTTGGGCGGTCTGGAAAAGTCTGTAAAAAAATTTATGGGACAAATTCATGCACTGTGCTTTTATTTTCCACGATGATTTGCCACGATCTCGTCAGAGAGTACGCGGAGGTTTTACGAGAACAAGAGAGGAAGTCACATGACCGACAGAGCCTCGAACTTCAACTAGAAAAACTCAGGTAGGCCTAATATTGTCCCTTTTATTGAATATAATCGTTTTGAGTTGTTGAGGCAAATACTTCATTGTAAAGTGTAGTTTCCTTTACATGTTGTTCCTTTTTCACAATTTTTTATATTTTTTTTTCAGAAAAAAAAAGCTTACGGCACATTTTTTTTCAAAGCTAGTCTCGCATTCAGCCGTTAACCTTTCAAATTCCTGTATTCTTTTAGGGAAAAGTACGAGAACCTGGTAGAAGATAACTACGAGGTCCGGCCAAGGAGGGTGGGAGTCATGCAGATGAGTCGTGTCAGCAGTTACAGCGACTGCGAATGCGACCAACAAATGCAGGTAACCGAACCAGATGTAAGAAACGCAATTTCTTTTGCTTCTTTTTATGTTTGCATTTTTTTGATCTGCATTGTGTTTACTCGAATGGTTTGCATTGTTCAAGATATTATACAAAGATCATTTTACTGTCTGGCTTTAAACTTGGTCACGTGGTTCTATTTTACCTTTCTTGTAATTCGATTTTAAACCAAAATCAAGTTGTAGATATCAATTAGCATCAATATTGCCTTTTTACACAAGCCTAGCGAGGTTGACCTGGTCGTCTTCAAAGCCAAAAACAGTGTAACTTCCCTAACCGCGTTGCCATAGAGATACCGCATACAATGTCGGCGCGGACATCCGGGAATACTTCACATTGGCCTATCTAGCTCCCAGACCCATGTTCTGGAAACTCAATGGTATTAGAGTCTGGAGTGCTGAATGGTAGCACATAGCAACCGATGAAAACTAGTGGGCAAATAAATAGAAGTTTTATATCGGATAACGTCACCTGCCCTGATCTATATTCAAAACAAATTAGACTTTAGAGTCACACTGACTCTCAGTTTGTTTGGGTGTTTTGCTGTCGTTTTGTTGAATTTTGTTAAAATATAGTCCAGCACTTCTTTAAAAGTCTATTTGAAAGAAATTGAAATGTATCAACTGGGCTACCTCTTCAGGTTTTCCTTTATAACATCCATTCCAGTGTTCTCATACAAATTGGTATCAACCTTTTCAAATTGATACCAAGTTTCAAGGTATGCGATATGGGAAATCTCATCTTCGGGTTTCCTAGTACCAGCTCTTGAGTAATTCTGACTGACTTTTGTTGGTGTTGTTCCCTGGGTCAGCAGTTTCTGCAACTACGCACCCCAGACCGATGCTTCAAGGTCGTCATGTGCGGAGACTCGGGCGTCGGCAAGACAAGCTTCCTCCAGAGATTCTGCCATAATACCTTCTCGGACAACCCACAGGTTACCATTGGTGAGTTAGATTGGTTCAAATTTTGTTACAAGACTTACCGCAACAATTAATCGATTTCGTGTGAGAAACAAGACAAGTTTAATAGCCTGTAAAAATTTCAGTGGCACTTTTGGCGTACACCTGTGGCAGCTTACCATGATTCAAAATCGACCACTTTGGTGTCACGATAAACTAGTGGTCTTTACTTTGTGTTCTTCTATATTTTGGGTACGGGTACTCTGCCAAAACGAGGGAGTTTGTTTGCTTGTTCGAAATTATCACATTGAACGTATAATCCGGCAATCATTTACTATCTTTCTGTCTCGCTGTGTTAAGCAGAGATTGGCTTTCACATGAAGTCGCTGGTGATGGACAACTCGGTGGTGTCGCTACAAATTTGGGACACGGCAGGACAAGAGAGGTACGTAGCAGAAAAGCATGGGGAATTTTTTTGGCGTATGCTGATAAAATGCCAACTTGGTGTTTCTTCAGTGTTAATGAAGACCTCTAAGTCTTTTCGCTCACTTATACCAAAACTAAGGAGAGTGATTTGTCAGATAGATCGTAAAATACAATTGGCACCTCCTTGATTGGGATAAATATCAATATTTCACGAGTAATGTGCGAAACTTAGAAAAAAATAAAATTCGCAATGAATGATCACTTGCATAACTAAGCAGTATGCTTTAAAGAAATTATTCAAGAACTTGCAAGAATAACAATCTATTTTTCGATCTTCCTTCTTGGCTCGCTACAGATTCCGAAGTATCCCCCATGCGTATTTCAGGAAGGCAGATGGCGTCCTACTCTTGTACGATCTCTCCTGCGAGAAATCCTTTCTGAGTGTCAAGAGTTGGATTGCTAGCATAAGGGTGAGTTTCATCTTCATTGGTCTAGCTGGCAGGCTGGATGGTTGGATGGCTGGTTTGCTGGCTATTGTTTTGACTGGCAGATCGGCTGGCTGGCTGGTATATTGGCTTTTTGCTGGCTGCTTTGTTGGTATATATGGCTGGCTGGTTTATCCGTTGGGTGGCTGGCTGGCTGGCTGGTTATCTGATGGGTTGGATGGCTGGGCAATTATAGCTGCAGCTTGCTAGCTGGCTTTGTGGCTATAGCTGGCTTGCTGGTGTGAGGGATGGCCAGTTGGTGGCTTGTTGGTTCGGATAGATGTCATGCATGCTTGCTAGCTGGCTGGTTTTGTCAACTAGTGGCTTGCTCGCTGACTGGTTTATTCCAGTATAGTGGTTGACTGGCCTGCTGGCTTGCTGGATTGCTTATTGGCTGGCTGATTTGAGCTCGAAAGTGGCTGGCATAGTAGCTTTCCATGTGGAAACAAGTCTGGTTGCAGAGCGCTTAAACGGTACCAAATACATTACCTTTATGCTTGGATGTTATGTCAACTATGGCATCTGGATGTCTAAAAAAAAAAGCCTGAAGTTTAATATAGTCAACCACCTGATATATTTTTGTGTGTGGACTCACAGGAGGTTGATGACACAGCTACCATCATGCTAGTAGGACACAAGGAGGATCTGGCGGACTATGACCGAGAGGTGCCCAAGGAATTGGCGCACATGTGTGCTCAGGTATGTCCAGTAATGCATGGGTTCGATCTTCTCCAGAAATAGGTCATATTTCTGAGCGATGAGGGCGCAGTGACGATACGTTTCTGACTCATTTTTCGGGTCAGGTTTACTGGATTTCAAAAATTATTTTCAAATCCGAAAAGTTTTGATGGAGAAAATATTACTAAATTGTTTCAATAAACCTGACATTTCTACTGTTGGTACCCAGAAATGGCGTCGTTATTGCGTCACTTAATTCTTTCAAAAATGCCTATCATTAAATCAACATGATGACACATTTTGTATTTGTCATAATGCAGGAGAACGGTGCCTTGTTCATCGAAGCAAGTGCGAAAACCGGCTTCAACATTTTCGAGGCACTCGGGAAGTTGGCAAGGTTAGAATAGAATGATAATTAGCATTATTTTATCATACTTTTTTTCAAACAACCTCTCACCATTCTCCTCACAACAGAGAGTCTATAGTCCCTCGGGAATCCATGCCCCCTCCCCATTAAAAACAGTTTTAAGTGCGAGACGAGACACAATATCTTTGTTGAATGTTCCAACACGGTAGATGACATTATTGACCACCTTCGCCTTTACCTTCACAGCTACACGTCCCCAAAGGCATTGCTTTATTTTCGCCAAGCAAACAGCTGTTGAAACAGCCTTCAGTTTTCCAAATCTACCCGATTACACAGTGGCAAAAATATATTCCCTGAGCAACCTACACGTCCCCATACGCCCCCTCATATTATTGACTTCTCGCTGTTCGTGCCAAAATCAGTAAGTCGACATGTAACTTGAGAATTACAGCGCTCTATTCGCCGTTTCACAAATGGTTTGAAAACATCTTAATACCCCCTGCGGACATTTTTATCTTAGTTTTCAATTCAAAGTTAAGGTTGTGTGTCATATTATCGTGTCTTATATAGCGTAGCGTAAGCTTGCACCCTGTTTTGGTACATAAAGGCATCATTTCGAAGCTTCTGCAACGCTGTTTTATTCGATTCCGAAGCCAGTGCAAAGCAATTTGCTGATAAAACTTGTTTTGGTTTGATTTTTCAAGTCCAGGAATCATTTCTCTGATATTGTCTTTAACTTCAATCAGATAGGCTAAACCAGTCAGATTAATCTGGGCAAAAAAATCGGTTTGTCAAACTGGATTTTAAAAGAAACTAAAAAGCACTCGGAAAGCGCAAACCTGCGCTAAGGCTAAACAATTCCCCGTCATATTGTTGGTACACCCAAAAGAAATACTCGTATAAATGGTGAAAAAAATCCTTTAAAAAAATCCTGGATACAGACCAAGATCCGTATCACTTCCAAAATCTCATCGATATGTACTTGTACCAAGGACAACCTCTAAAAACAATTTCACGCAAATCCGTCCATAATCCACCACAAGATTATAAGTAGGCTCGCAGAGCTATCAGTTGAGTTTGGGAAATTCTATAAATGCTTCACAACACCTTGTTATCAGTTATATTGTTAACAGACAAACCAACCAACCAACCAACGACTATGAAAACATAAATTTGTTATGGAGGTAATAATCATATATTCCTTTAAATATCAAAAATTATTGATCTATTTTTTTTTTTAGAGAGCTTCAGAAACGTGAAGATGACACAGTAAGCAGAGTGTACACGGTGGAACTCAACGAGGAAATAGTCTTCGCTCCAGCCAAGAAAAAGTGCTGCACCATCTGAGTGATGACGTCATCCAACTCCCGCAAACTCTTGCCCAATGATGAACAGTGCGCTCTGAGCCACGTGCCTGACAACCGCATTTTCTCAAGACTTTTCAGCAGGTCATTCTGATTAGCTAGCTTTATACACGTTGAATTGGATCTTCATAACATAAAACGGTGGTTCCTTATTTTCCGTGTTTTCGGGGAACTTAAAACAAATTTTTTTTCCAATTTCAAAATATAAATTGTTTTTATTCGATTAGGATTCGGTAAAGCATGCCACTTTATAATAATTAAAGTGTTATTTTCCTCATTAAGTATTCTGTATTACGTCACAAGATCGTACTAAGTTTGTTTGTCAATAAAGGTTTAGGAAGAATTATAACTAGCACATCGGGCGTTTTAACATAAGCTTTTCAGTCCGGATCATATTTGCTGGGAAAACAATAAGTATAACAAACATAGTAACGATACATTATACCTGATTTTCCCGTCAAACGTTTACGGTATACATTACATGTCAAGACGTTCACATGAGAAGTAAAAGTGAAGTCTATACAATAAAACAGGGCCAATAACCTATAGACATTATGTCTGCTGTCACCCGATTCTGAACGATGTGAATTCGTAGGCAGGATATGGTAATGTCAAAATGGACCAAACCAAAGTTTGTATTTTTCTCGCAGATTTATAGACGTGAAGAAGCACAATGGTGATTATTAATTTAAGTGTACAGCGTGGGATACGCCGTGAAAATTCGAGACTTTGCGAGATTTGATGTGGCTTATATACCACAGGACAGAAAGGATGCCTTAATCGTTGTATAAAATGTACAGAAGATGATTCATATTGGACATGTAAATATAGCAGTTTAAAGTGTAATTATACAATATTGTACTAAACATAGTTTAATCTCGTGTTTCGTAAAAAAACAATATCCGTCTTGAAGACGGTGTAAAAGGGTCCCAAGGTACTTGAAATGAAGAAACATTTAATGTGTTTTATAGGTTTAAAAGCGAAAGTGTTCTGACGAGTTTTTTTCTTGATCCCATTAAAAAAAACACTGCCATGGCAAGATGTTTGAGTCATAATAGGTTTCGAGAAACTTTTTTTGTAGACAGTGGCGCAGTGGTACCATCTCCAACTCTAGTCACCCTTGTTCGATTTCCGCCAGGTGGCGCTATATTGCATAGGTTCTCGTTTGGCTTTTTTCTTCCATAAAAAAACCCATCTATACAGCTGTTAAGTTTACGGTAGAAAGATTGCGGGTAACACCATGTGGGAAGTAATCTATTCTTGGAAGAAGTGTGGTTCTGAAAAGAACCGGTTGGTTGAGTGTAAAACTCGACGTTTCGGACAGTGTGCTCTGTCCGTCTTGAGGACTTTATCTCATCCGCCATGCAAAGCTTCAACAGCTGTTTTGTTAATTATATGACATTCCCCCATCATGCATAACTCATATCCTAAGCTTATTAAATTATTTTAGTTTTAGCCAAATAATCTTCTGATTGATGAAGCAAGTAGGCTTTCCAGTTTAAAAAAAAAAAAGATTTCTGATCCGCTTTCTTCATTTTACAAATTTGAGGAAAATCCACCTAGGCCGGATTCCGTAATACGAGAACGTCAGAAATCCGCCATTAAATGAGCAATTTGGGGTCCGTGGTTCAAATTACAACCCGTCTCTTGCAGTCGAACATTGTATTTTTAGCTTGTTTTTGTTTAATTTTATTTTAGATTTTCTGCAATTTCCGAGAAATTGCATGATTACAGCCTAATTTACAGGGGACGAAGTATCATTTTGCATAATTATTGAACCTTCACTATGCTTTTTGCGGTGCCTTTTGGCTTTAGTTGGAAAAAAAAAATGAAATGAAGTTTGATTTTACGTTGGAATCCGAAGGCATACTTTTCATCTGAACAAGTGCACAAACTGAAACAAGTCACTTAAGTTAAGTAAAACTGATCATTGACCAAGTGTACAATATGTATGATAAAATTGCTTAAGGCTACATATTTTGAGAAAAGCTCTCTTTATTGAAATCGAAATGTATCTTTGTTGTAAATAAATATAGATATTCGTAATTAACAGCATGCGGTATATTGTGTTAATAAAGGACATCCGTCCACCTTATGAAAATCCTTGTAAAAGTCCATTGCGATTTTATTTAAACTGATCTTTTTTTCTTTTTTTTTGGTGGGTGTGATGTTTAAAAGGGGCAGGGCATATTCCACCGAACATCCAAAACGCTACTTAATTTTATGCATCAAAATTAATTTTATAATCTATCACTTGCAAAGTCGTTTTTTTTTCTTTGGAGATAAGATATCAAAAATGGATTGGGAGCTCAGACGCTAGAGAGCGCTCTAAAGTGCAGTACCCAAAGTTACTGGGTCACAGAGGGCAATGACGTGTTCCTATTCTGCATTAAAATCACAGAGGGCGCTATTATGATTTATGGGCAACAAAAAAAAGGAGAGATTTCTTTGAAATACCGCCTGTTCAAATTTAAGTTCCTCAAACTTAATTCAAGCTCCAAACCAGCACAGCAATATTTCAAAGAATACTGAAGCCAGCAGGCACAGACATTTTGAGAAAACTGTTTTCAATTTTTTTGTTTTTATTGGTGTGCTGTCTTTTCAAAACAAAATTGGCACTTTTGTTACACAACCGCTGTCAAGTACAGAATCCGCTTTCAGAATTGGTCTTCTTTTTAATCACAAAAAGTGTACAGCGAAATGTTACATTTCAAATCGACAAATGGCAAGACTTTACTGTTCTTATATCATCAAAAAAATGCATGTTTTGTGGAGGCCTTAATTTCAAGAAATTTACTTCTTTCTCAACCACTGATATAAATTGATGATTTCACTGGATACTTTATGGAATATTTTATACATTTTTGGACGAATACAAATAAAAGACATTAAATTCAACATTACTTAACACTGCCATGGCAACCTTTGAATAAATCTAATTAAATAAATAAATACATTAATTGCACATTGAAATTAATAAACATTTTGATATTTTTTAAGTACATCAATTAGCTGGCAATACAAAATAGAAAAAACTGAGGTATGTGTGAATTAAAGTACATAAATTATACATAAATAACATCTCTTACATATCTTCTCAACTTTTGCACTGTTTCTGCCCCAATATCAATTTCATAAAAAAACCTGTAAATCCTTATGGTGAAAGAAATTATATTAAATAGTTCTCAATTTTCCTTAGCCTGGGCCCAATCTTATGTTTTCTTTGCCCTGCTAACCATAGCATTCCTTGCTTATCACCATTCTGTGCTAACAGCGCAAGCAGAAAATATATGCATTAGCCCAGTAAGCACGGAATCCTTAGTTATGGAATGTACACGCATGCCCTTAAGCCCAAAATCCTCACTAACTTAATAATAATAATAAATGGAGCATTTATAAAGCGCTTTTAACAAATATCAAAGCGCTGTACAAAACTACAAAACTACAAATAAACAAGGCAAAAACAAAAACAAAACAAAAAACTTAATTTAAGAATAACTCGAGGGAACAATGAGAGGTAAAGATGAAGGTGAATTGATTAAAGAAACAGATGTGTTTTGAGCGATTTCTTGAAGATGATGATTGACTTGTGAAATACGCTTACCGTAAGCATGGAGCTTTCTGCTACAGTAAGCAGGTATTACTGTGCTAACGGTAAGCAGAGACAAGACATTGGGCCCAGATACAGCCCATGCAGTTTTTTGTTAGAAGTCTTCCTGCACCTGTCAAAATCCAACACAGTTGACCAAGCAATCTATCAAACTGTTTTCTTTGGTATATGTGCCAGGGCTTTCAGTTCTATATCCATGACAATCAATCAAATCTAGATTTTCTTTAAGCAATTAGGTGGGATAAGGTTAATGAAGCTTTCAGCCTTTGAACAAATTCCATTTATTAAAAATGGCCGGGCAGTGGTAAAAAAAAAAGAAGAAAATGTTCATTGATGCAGCATCAAATAAACTTTGATAAATTGTACTGCAAGAAATAAAAGATATCTGGGCTCAATAAATATACCCTGTACTGTTGGTCTTTCTATAAAAAAGAAATTAAACAAAAAAAATATACTGTGTTGAAAAAGTACTTGCGTAGAAGTATTCGTTAATGGAATTCAGTTTAAAAAATACTGTTGATGGCACAAGGGAGCTTGAAAATTTTTCTTCAGAACTATTGAAGCAAATTACACAAATTACACGAATGCATTTACAAAAACCACACAAATGCTTAATTCCTCCCTTTCATTTGCCGATCGGAACAACGATCGTCACAAACTCGTACTTGAAGCTCTGATCCGGAAGCTTATGTTCACTGAAGAACTGGACAGCGTAGACGATGAAGGCGGTCAAGCTGCAGACCCAGAGTAGTAGTCCCACACCCAGGCCTGCGTAGGCCAGACTCTTGGCTCGATAGCTAGCCTGATGGGCACCGAAGGAGTCGCCAACAGCCGACCTCCTTCTGACCTGGAGAGAAACAAAGATCAAACACAGAGATTATTATTTTGAATTTTTTATTTTTTTGGCCTGTTAGGTGTAAAGAAAATAAAACTTACAATTGTGTCACAAGTGATAAACCCCAATTGGACAGGGATGCAGTGTGAGCCCATCACAATTCCATCACAAGTCCAGTCAAAAGTTAATTACAAGTCCAGTCACAAGATACAATGGATGAGCAACAACAAAGGAAAGTCTTTACCAAAGTTCATTTGAACAGTTTGCGAGATGTATTGGGACTGGAAGACTTGTGATGGACTTGCAGGGACTTGTGATGGACTCGACTACATTCCTGCATTCGCAAATTAGCAGAATTGAAGAAATTATCTTGAATGAAGAAAATTGTCTTGAGCGGGGCTTGAACCTCAGATACAGTGTTCCAGATGTTGCAGATTCAAATCCGAAACAGAACCAATAAGAAACAGCTTTAAGTAGAGAGTTTTCAAAACTGCGGTTTCATCTCTAACTTTGGCTACAGGTGATTTTAAGGTTCATAACTTAGGAACGTTTAGCTCAATGTTTATCATGCTCTGCTTGAGGAACATCACATCCTATCACACTAAGCGAACATGAGACTATTTTGAAGCCAGACATGAAGCCTGAGCTGAAGACAATGCCGCAGTTTCAAAAATGGCCACATGCATACCTCGCTGGACTTGACCAATCCCAGAATGCCGAGCGGTAGACAGCAAAAGAGCGTGACGAAGATAGCCAGTATCTGGTAATCCTTAGGCTGGTTCCTAGAGGTGATGACTGTGGTTTCTGCTGGTGGGAAAGAGGGGATCTGTGCGATCAAAAGGAACAAAGTAAGTCAAGAAACGAGCATCATAAGGTAAGCACTGGTTTTCCCGCTCAACTTTCTGAATCAATTCAAACCCACTCCCTGTGCAGTTTTTATTTATTAATTTTATTTAGAAACCAGGGATTCCTCAAAAGCGTAGCACTGTAGCTCTAAAGCCTGAAGAAACCTGTAGAGAGGAGACGATGAAAAGAAATTGCAGTTTTTGAGGGGGGAGGAAAAGCCCAGACAAATATTCTAGGGGAAAACCCACGGAATCAGCAAAAGGGACTGAAAACCGCGCATGTTCAGTGCCTATCCGGCATGGCAAAATATCGTTTACTAAAACGAAAGTCATGCCAGCTAAAATATCCACCACTACCTTAATTTACCTACCGATAATAAGGTCTGGCCTGGCAGAGGTTGGAAAAACATCTCGGCACTTTCGACTCCCTCATCACATTCATTACGTAGAGGTTTATAAGCTGTGGAAATCAGTCAAGAATGCAGGAAATAATTCAAAACAATGAGGGGATGAAAAAAATGGAAAGAATGTTGCAGCCTGATGCCACTTCAGTGCTTTTGTACAAAGTCTATGGAGACTCAAGTAAATTTTCCGATTATTTCCCAACAAAATTGGAAATGAACTTTCAATTTCATGCTCAAAATTGGAAATATTAATAACAGTCCCAGATTCATGTCTTATCATCATTTTTGCAATGAGTGACCTTCATTGAGATGATAAAAAGCAGCGTCGGGTTGCAACATTTTTTTCCGAGAAAACAAACAATTCCAAAGATGAGATCCATTCTGCTCAAAATATCCCAGTCCAACATTCAACAACAACGTTTCTGACTCAAAACGTCCAATTTAATGACTGTACTGTGGTTTTAAAGACTACCAAACATGCCCAAAAAATTTCTTATTCATGAACCCAACTACCCTCACTTACTGGATAACATTTTGAATCAAGCTGGACCCTCTGCGAGGCTTCTGAAAGTTGGAAATTGAGAAGAAAATCTCAGCCCCCACCACGCGCCGAGCTGTCAGCCGATTATTTATTATTTATTTACAAAATCCACTCTCAATTGATTAGTCTGCATTCAGACTCAACAATACGTAATGAGATACAGGAAAATAATCCGATAACCAGACTACGTAGGCACATCGCCGTACCTACGGCTGTTCTACGTCGAATCAAATAATCCACAATTTTAAAGGTATTACTTTTTTCTCATATTTTTGAGAAATTACTTAATTTTGGTGTAATTTTTACCCACAAATGCTTTGAACTAAAGCATAAACATGATGAAGATAAAAAACTGGAAATAACCACGAGTTGTTTAAAATATATAAATATAATTTTTTGTTTTGTCTTTTTGTGATCACCGTAAGTATGTGATCACTGGTAACCATTCCCTAAGTCAACAAGTTTACCCTGCGGTGCAGTACCAGCGCACCGTTTGTGTACATTCGATTCACAGGAGAGGTCAATTTAGGTCAAAATATTACAATCGAGATCGCGATCGAGAGGAAACAGATAGGAAAACATGGATCTAAAAGGATTGTTTGGTGGCAAAGAAAGGGTAAGATTTACAATTAACTGACAGAGTTACTGTAAAGTTTTCTGAGCATTGTTTTGTTCGTTGGTCCCACAAGTTTTCGAGAAGTTTTTTTGTTGAAAAACATTCATTTTATAAGTTAAAGTGGCGACGTAAAGTTGAACTTCCGAACTCCATATGCGCGCATCCACACTGTACTGAACGTACAATGTACATCTGGTTTGCGCGTTTGTAATTTGACACGCGCTACATCATGTACAGTTTTTAAAGCACATAAACATTTACAGCATTTCCCATATTGTCTTTGTGTGAATTGGTGATCTTTTGCGTCATGTATAAATCGTGTTCACAATGTTTCTGTTTTATTGTGTGGTTTACCTGTTCTGGAAATTTAACTTTTAAGGAAAAAATAGACATGATTTTTCAATTCAATAATCAATTGAATGATAGAAATTTATAACAGCTGTTTAAATTCATGGTGTTATTTTCATTGGACATTGATGATCGTTAAAACTTAATTGTTTGTTTCCGAAAAATTTTGGAACTTTGAATGCCAGTTCCTAAAATTCATGAAATTAGCCAAACATGAAAAATACTGTGAGTGTGTCTGTGGTGAGCGTACCAAAAAAGAAACAACTTGACAATATCCAGGTGAGGAATTAATTAACATAAAAAAAGATAATTATTAAGGGAATAAATGTGTGCTCCGGAGGTTTTTATCACTCTGTTTAATACCACTTAGAGTCTGGGTGCTGATAATTACCCGAGCCGGAGGCGAGGGTAATTATCAGCACCCAGACTCTAAGTGGTATTAAACAGAGTGATAAATACCGACGGAGTACATATTTATTCCCATTCATAAATACCTTTTCGGTAAAAAAAAATCATATAATTCGTTCAAAACATCCCGATTTTGTTCAACAAATTCACTTTATGCTTTTTGAATCATCCCTCCTGCAAAATAATGGAGTGTTCAGCTGGCGAGTAAGATGAAAATAACCCTTTTATGGAGATTGACGCGCGCGTATCATGTTCTATGCGATGTCGCGCAGAACGCACCTGGCGCGTTGCGTTTTGAATTTAGAACTATAAATTCTAACTCCCTGTTAGTGTTGCGCATGCCTACGTGAGGATTGTGAACGTTCAACCAATGAAACGATAAGAGGCACTGGATTTTTAGGAGTCCACATTTTATTGTGACACTGGAAAAGTGTTTAAGACCAGCTAGTCATGTCTTTATCATCCGTTTAATACCAGCCACGTGACGGGCTCTCGACCAATAGGAATGGCTAAACTGTCTGAGGTATTTATGAATGAATATTATACAACTGTACGTGTAGGTGGAGCTGAATTTTAATGATAATAAGAAATTATAAAAATACAAACAAAAAGCACTTCACAAGACCAAATTATTCTAATTTCATTTGAAAGAAAATACTACCTGCATGTTTTATTTAGTCTAGATAATGATCAACTGCTGTCATAAAAGTTACCCAACTAATCAAATAATGAATTCTGTGAACCACTTTACCCACCCCCCCCCAAAAAAAAATTGCCAGGGTTTTAAAGGGAATGTACGTCATTGGCTTTTGCTGTAATTTTCAGAAATGAACTATTGGAGCGGTTAGTATGATAAATCAAATATAGTTACACTAACATGTTTGAAGTTTTGTGTTCAAAAATGCTGGGAAAACCAAGAAAAACAGAAGCCAGAATTCCACTAAAGATGAAATAGATCAATATTTGTAGATACCGGAAAATTGTAAGGTAAGGGAACCAGTCTAGCCTGCCTGCACCCGTTCATGAACATGTAACCAATAGCAAACAAAATTTGGACTGAAAAATGGTAAATTTGGATCAGTAGTTGAAAAATAGTTGGGTTTTTCCAACGGTGGTCGGCCGACCACCGTTGGAAATGTATACAAAAATACAATTTTCTTGAAAATGACTTCACACGAGGTGCCATAATTTTACAGGATGCTTTATACTGTCATTTACCAAGATCCTAGTAAAGTATTTCGTAAAAACTTGGTAGTTTTATTTTTCGATGTTTGCAAATGTTGTATATTCCCTTTAAGTTACACAGATGTTCATGTATACATGTTAGTCAACCTTTGATCTTTCGGGTGACTGATTTTGTATATGAATGCACTCTGCACACACCGATCCAAATAATGTATGTTTTGATTTGGGATTTCGGTGATATTTTTTATAGTACTGAACAAGGAAGCATATGCTGTTATTGTGCTGTATGTGGACTGATTGCCTCAGTACACATATTTTTGGAATACAATAGTTTGAAAACATAGACCTTATTCGTAAGGAAACCATTTTTGATCTTGTTCCCTGAATGTGTTTTATAAATTGTAAACTGTTGAATGGGATGGTGCCAGACTGTATTACTTTGTATCAAACTTGATTTCAATTGCTTTCTTTCCTGTTTGCAAGTTCCTAACAAGAAGATTTTACCTCACTTTCAATTTAGTATGGCCAACTTGTGAATCAAACCTATCGTTTAACTCTCAAACACTTGCATTAAAATGTATTTATTCCTGGATAAATCCATAAAACCATAGAGATTTGAGGCAGTTTAAGCGGTACAAGGAATAACAGGTGCGGCGGTCTGGGGCAGTACAGGGAGCAACAGGCAGAGTGGTTTGGGGCAGTACAGGGAATAACAGGCAGGGTTGTTTGGGCAGTACAGGGAGTAACAGGCAGGGTGGTTTGGGGCGGTACAGGGAGCAACAGGCAGAGTGGTTTGGGGCAGTACAGGGAGTAACAGGCAGGGTGGTTTGGGGCAGTACAGGGAGTAACAGGCAGGGTGGTTTGGACGTACAAGGAATAAAAGGCAGGGTGGTTTGGGGCGGTACAAGTAATAACAGGCAAGGTGGTTTGGGGCGGTACAGGGAGTATTAGGCAGGATGGTTTGTGATAGTACAAAGAGAAACAGACGGTGGTTTGGGGCGGTACAAGGAATAACAGGCAGGGTGGTTTGGGCGCAGTACTAGGGACCCATGGGTTAAAATGCCTACATGAAGTTCAACCAATACAGAGTTTTGGAAGTGATTTTTGTCAAAAGCCTATTGTTGAATTGCACAATGGTGGTGTGCATGATACAGAGTTCACACAATGCAATCGATTGGCCACTTCCTGGTCGGGTCAGAAAAACCTCGAACATGGTTGAAAGTGGTACTGTGGAAAGTGTAGTTTACAAAGACATATATACATAATGCAATTAGTCCGAAAAACCTTGAACATGGTTTTGAAGTCGTAAGTACTGTGGAAACTGTAGTTTACAAAGAGATATACATAATTGTTTATACTTGTACAAAATCTATGCATTTGGCTTTTTTTCAGAATAATTTCACCAACTTGTCCTGATTTCTCACCTTTTGTTTAGTTAGTGCATTCTACCACCAAAGAAAGGAAAAACGGACTTAGGAAACCTCAGATTTGTTCAAGGAACACACACGCATGTAATTGAGTGTATTTTGCAAAAGTAAAACTGAAAAAGAAAAAGTAAGTTTTGAAAAAATAATACAATAACTCATAACTGGAAAATATTATTTGAACATTCAAGTTCTGGTTTGGAACCTTTTTGAAGGTTTCAGTTCTGCAGGCATGAACAGAATAATACAATACTTAATTCTTTTTTTTGGTCATAGGTTTAGTGTACAATATAATATTGGTTTAATATTGGAGTATTTCCTATAGAAAGGTTCTTAGTAATAATGGCTATGTGTACGGAGATGAGGCTTAGAGAGACAACCGTAGGAATTATTTTTAAAAAAAATTTTCATCAATTTTAGGTTCACTTTGCTTCATATGTTTATCTACATGTATGTATATTGCCACTGCTTGGCAGTTGGTGAGCATGGACACACATTGTCATTACTGGGGCTATTCCGTTTGTACATTGTATTCAAAAGTTTAAAGGAACTGTTTCCGAAAAAAAAAGGGACCGTCATGCAGCCGGCCATATCCTGTCTCAACACTTCCTGTTTCAGTTTCTGGGAGCTCGTATGACAACTGCATGTACATATGTAATTTTTTTTAACTGTGTCACTTTCAGTTATTCATAAATAATTAACAAATCAACAATGCTCGTACTGCAATAGTAAAAGTTACATTGTTTCATGCTTTTTCAAATCAATGTTTAATATTGATTATTTTTTAGAAAAGTTTTCTATCACTTTCTTTTTAAGTTTTGAAAACTTACTGTTTTTCCTTTAAATTTTTCCTTTAAATTTGAGGTAAGGAATTTTCCTTTGGAGTGTAAGGTAGCTTTTCCAGATATAAGTTCAATTGCATTTTTTTTTCTTGCAAAAGTACAAACCTAAACAGAAATCAGCCTGGAAATTGTCAGCAACGTTTTTAAAATCATCCAAAGTTGTAGCAATATGAAATAGTTAGGGTTCTTATTTTGAATAATAAATGTAAAATATTTGAGAATTCCAGCACCATATTTGGCTTTGGTGAAGTGACTTGAGCGAGACAAGTCGGCTAAGTTTGATGGACACCATGACCCTAGATTTGTCAGGACTTGGGTTGGCAACAGACAGTCGGTTGCAAAGTTTCCCTAGATAAATAAACTTTGTCACAGAACAGGCTTGGCCATAAATACATGTATCTCTGCTGTGATCGATGTGTAGTACACGTGCACTTACAGAAGGGTTAACTTTACTCAAATAGAAATGACATGTTGAAGCTTCACAGCCATTTTGCACGAGTTGTGAATAATTTGCGGAAAGTCTTACTCCCTGTGTATTGTTTGCATGGTGAATTTTAATTTTTTTGGGGGGTTGATATTTTTTTTACAAGACGGTACAAGTCCATCTTGACCAAGTGTGATCATCCTGATCAAAATACCACACACAAAACATAGTGGTGAACCCCAAAATCGGGCTGGATAGCTCAGTTGGTAGAGCACCGGAACGGCAACCCCGAGGTCGTAGGTTCAAACATTAAAATTACAAAAACCCAGTGTTGGATTTTAATATTTTTGAGACAGTTATTAAATATACAGATAAAGCACTGCAAGAATTAAATTCCTATTTTTATGTACTTTTTTATTCTGTAAATAAAAACTAGACGTTTCGTCCCAAGAAGAAGTTTGAGCCGGGGACGTTACGCTATCAGCTTCACAAGAAGGCGATGGCGTCACTCAACTCCGGCTTGGACCTGAAGGCCGTCGTCTCGCTGCCTGCAGAGGAGGACTTAAATGATTGGCTGGCCGTCCATGGTGAGAAATGAGCTGATTGGTTGATTGCATGAATAAGTAGCCAATAGGAAATCTTCAGGGTAATGTGTGCAATCTTAGGCCAAGTTCGCGCAAGGACTATAGTTAACCATAGTTCGACTAACGCTTGCCCAAACTCTGCCTAGTCGACGGTGGTTGACTACGCTAGTCGACTATTTGGAACCAGCCTACTGGGGTTGGTTGCTTCGCTGGTAACCAATAGCCGCGTGCATTCATAACGCTAGCAGAGAGCCAGGATCCAGAAGTTTTGCGATGACATTTTGACCAGCGTTTGACTAGAGACGTTCGCATGTTGCTATCAGTGCGCAGGCGTAAGGTACGTCACAAATCAACCACTAGTCGACTAATGGTCCTTGCCCGAACTTGGCCTTAATTTTGGTGAAGAAATCACACATTGCATTTTGCACACGGTAATTCAGTTCTCGAAAACATGCAAGTTCTTGTGCATTCTTTCTAATTCTTTTGGAAAATAACATTGAAGTTATAAACCTAAAGGTACATGTAAGTGTTGAGAAGTTGTATTAATTTTTTTATATTTTTTTAAACATTTTTACAGTTGTTGACTTCTTTAATCGGATTAACCTCATCTACGGAACGATATGTGAATACTGCACAGACGAGTCGTGCCCTATCATGTCTGGTGGATCAAAGTAAGTCACCATGTTAACCTTTCTGTTAAAGAGGTTGTGGAATGCTCGAAAACATTTCCGTCATTTTTTGGGTATATGTAGCCTAAGGTGTGATGAAATAAAAACGATTATTGTGTCTGTCATGAAATGACTACAAAAGGTACTTTTGAGAGCTGTTTTTCAAGTCCTGTCATGCCTGTTTCGACCCGAACGTGCAATTTGTGTAAAAGTCGTCGTTGCGGGCAGCAAACAAAACACAGTAAATCGTGACGTAATAAACAGGACTCCCGATGCAGAGTAGCATAAACGAGTCCTGTTTATTACGTCACGATCTACTGTGTTTTGTTTGCTGCCCGCAACGACGACTTTTACACAAATTGCGCGTTCTGATTGCAGACCTTTGCAAGTTTCGTTAATCAAATTCAGTGATAATAAGAGTACAAAATGGCTACACATGGGTATCATGGAGGAGCACAGACTTGTCCTCAGCGAGGGCGCCCTTCGCAATGAGTCTATTCCAGATAATGATTCGGAATGTTTGGTCCTCGAAGGTACGAGTACATGTGGTGCGACGGGGACAAGTTCAAGAAACCAACGGCACTTCCAGCAAACAAATACATCACTAACCTCATGGAATGGGTGGAATCACTCATCAACAACGAGAAGGTGTTCCCGGTAAATGTAGGTGAGTGGCACCCCCGGGTTAATCAGTAACATGCAGGTGTAATGGATTGAAAGGTCCATCGACAATGAGAAGGTGTTCCCGGTAAATGTAGGTGAGTGGCACCCCCGGGTTAATCAGTAACATGCAGGTGTAATGGATTGAAAGGTCCATCAACAATGAGAAGGTGTTCCCGGTAAATTTAGGTGAGTGGCACCCCCAGGGATTATGCTAGAATGGTTGGAAAGGATTATCAACAATGAATTGTGTTCCCAGTGTATGTAGGTGAGTGCCACCCCTGGAGATGACAAGTAAGGCCAAATAAAAAAAAAAGGAAAACATGTTTAGCGTCCCCGCCCGCTTCCTTTTTGGAGGCCACCTCCTTTCTTTTTTTTTCTTCTTCTTTTTTGAAAAAAAAACCCCGATAAAATGGTATATTTTAAACAGTGACATCATTTTGGCCTCTCTGTCTGTTGCGTCCAGCCCATATAAAGCTGGTATGTGATTTCCCGAGTCCATTTGGCGGGCATTTAAAAAAAAGCTGGCGGCCATCTTGAAAAATAGCCCGGCCGGTCATTATGAAAAAAAAGGGCCTTCTCCTTCCTTTTTTCCAGAATGGCAGGACGCTGAACATGTTTTTTTTTTTTATTTGGCCTTACATGCATGTACATGTACAAATGTATAAGGTAAACCTGGCATAAATTGTGGAGTGGTTTCCCTGTGGTCAACATTTCCTTTGCACTTTGGGTTTCCGTTGTCTACCAGGAAGTGAGATATTTATCTCGTTTTTTTTTTTCTGATGTCAGCAGCAAAAATATGAAAAGCTCACATCATTGTTGGTGTAACACATGGGCGTCAGTCCGCCCCCCCCCCCCCCCCCCCCCCCAGGGGGACATGTCCCCCCCCCCAACACTTTTTGAAGGATGGGGAACTCGATGTCAAATCCCCCCCCCCCCCACCAGATTTTTGAGCTTGTGTGTCTCATTTACAGGGGTCAGGGCCTTATTATATACTACAGTACATCTTTTGCGAAGAAAATATTGGTTATGTGGCCAGAAATTGCCTCAGATCGCACCACCGAGCATTTAGAATCCAAATAAAAAAAATTTCGGGGCCCTTAAGCGGGCCCGAACCCCACACCTATAGCTCAGAAAGCTGAGCCAATGACTCCAACCTCAAATATAATGTTCAAATCTTTATCGTTTTGCTTAGAAAATATTTGTTAATATTATAAAGTGGTCAGAAATTGCCTCAGATCGCACCACAGAGAGAGTCTAGAATCATTGTATTCTAGATGCATTTTATTGATTCCTCAGCGAGTAAACACAATGTAATACAATGTAATACAATGTAATACAATGTAATACAATGTAATACAATGTAATACAATGTAATACAATGTAATACAATGTAATACAATGTAATACAATGTAGTACATGTGCTTATAGGTTAAGCCACAGATTCAATTCTACAAATGTGGAAATGTCTTTCATCATTTCTTCTTTTCTCTCCTAGATGTCCCCTTCCCCAAGAACTTTGTCACGACGTGCAAGAACATTCTGAAGCGTCTACACAGAGTGTTTGTTCACGTCTACATCCATCACTTTGAGAACCTCGTCGCAATAGGAGCGGTGAGTTATGATCAAAGTCAATGACTTATTTCAATGACCAAAAGAAAAACCCGAATGTACCTTGGCTCAGTGTTCAAGGGACTGGAATTTTCCCCCAGAGTCAGTGCTGTAGTCGAGTCCAGTGGACTTGTGGGGACGTGTATGGATTTGTGAAGACGTGTATGCACTTGTGGGGACGTGTATGCACTTGTGGGGACATGTATGCACTTGTGGGGACATGTATGGACTTGTGGGGACATGTATGGACTTGTGGGGACATGTATGGACTTGTGGGGACATGTATGAGCTTGTGAAGGTTTTTAAAGACTTGTGAGAACGTTTATTGACTTGTGAGGACCTGTACAACTTGTAAGGTCTTGTGAGGACTTTTGAAGACTTTTAAGGTCTTGTGAGGACCTGTGATGGACTTGTGGAGACTTGTGAGGATTTTTATCACTTGAATGGTTTCCATTGGGCTGGATACGAATATAGTATTCCAGACATCAAAGGTTCTACAAAATGTCTTCGAATTTTATTTAGCAACTAAAATTTGATATTTTTCCTTAATTTTTCTTCTCCATTTTTGTGCAGGAAGCCCACATCAACACCTGTTATAAGCATTTCTACTACTTTGTCAAAGAATTTCACCTCATCGATCCAAAGGAACTTGAACCACTGGTAAGAGTTTGTTTTACTGTTTGCTGTTGTTGGAATGTGTTGGAGCTAGTTGGCTTTTGCCTTTGGAAGCTGTAGGATCCAGCAGGCTTCAGACTAATAGCTGTTGTGGGATTCTGTTGGATTGAGCAGGTATTCAACAGGCATGTTGTAGGATTCTGTTGGATTCAGCAGGCATTCAAAAGGCATGGGGGATGGGGCTCGTACCATACCGGTACTGTCAATGGGGGCGCTGTTCTAATCCCACGATTATTAACACTGACAGAGCTGGGGGAGGGGGTTTACCCCTAACCTCCCCCCCCCCTCCCCCTGGATCAGCACCTGACTTGGAAGTTACTGGAATCTGATGAATTCGGGCGATTCACAATGCAGTGCGCCACCAAGAATTTACCACAGATAGTTCGTTTTTCCCAGTGCATTGTGGGTGATAGTTGACAAATTCGCAGCGCGGGACATTTGAAATTGTTTGTTTTTCCGGTCAGTAGTTTTGTAAGCGTATGATTCGAGTACAAGTTTGCCCTTTTTTTCTTCTTTTTATCAATATGGTGTTTTTTGTAATGCGGCAGAACGCTGTGCCCCAATCTATAACAAATTAGCTCAAGTTGTCTACCGACACTCATTCAAATGGGCCATGTTTTGTCGATCATAAAGCAGAAAACTGGACTCTCCATGGCAAACCCTTGGTGGCGCACTGCATTGTGAATCACTCGAATTATGAAGCAGGTTCAACATTCTTGTAAGATTCTGTTGGATTCAGCAGGTTCCAAGCTGTTATTAGATTTTGTTTGACTCAGAAGTGAGAAATCTGAAGCGTGTTTGTAAACATATCCTTGAAACATTTCTTGATTTGTTTGTTTTCAATCCACAGAGAGATATGACGGAGAAGATCTGCCGCTGATGAAACCTCCTTCCCCTCCCTTTCCCTAAGCCCCTCCCATCATTCCCCTCCCCCCCATTTTTTACTCCGTCAACTTTGCCAAAAATCTTTCCAGTGAAGACAACAGTCAGAGACCATGCCTCACAAACAACAGAGTCCTTACTTTAGTTCAGTTTAAGCCTTAGTGCGGATCTGAACTGGGAACCATCAGAATGAATGTTCACCCATTCTACCGAAAGCCTGTAAAATACATGTCCTCTACGAAACCCTGAACCTCAGACCAAGTAAATTGATGCTCGCTCGTCAAGTGTACTACAAGGCCAAACCTCGCATAAAATTTACAACTTGGTTAGATCTGAACCCAGAACCATCGGAATCAACATCCCCCGTCCTACCACAGAGCTGTAACGTTGATAAGAATACCAAGTCCTGAACCCAGGACCAGCAAACGGAAGTCCGCTCATCCTACCGTGCATTTAACTTCAGCATCAACATCCATCTCGAAGCCCTGGAACTTTGAGGTAGAAGTGTTTATTTCCAGTGTGTGATTTCACAACGACTCAAATTCAAGATAGTAATTTTTTTTTTTTTTTTTTATGGAAAACTTTCAATGCAGCAATATTTTCTCTGCACCCCTGTACCGTTGCAGTCTATAACACACATGCAGGACAAAGTTACCAAAACTTTTGCAAAAAAAACATGTTTTGATTTCCCTTTCTTGAACTTTCCTTTGTTAGATTTCCCTTTTAAATTAATAATCCTTCAGATATTGATATTCTACAATTGTACGTTCCCTCAATCTTTTGAAATTCTCTTTAAGTAAATTCTTTTCTCGTCTTCCATGACTGAACAGTGGTGCAGAAAAAAAATTGCTGAGCGCAGAAAATATGTGCTTAGCAAAAACGGGTTACCAGTGAGAATGTCATGTATTTCACATGACAGAAAATGGTAGTGCTTATCCCATAAATTCCCAGAGCATTTTTCCCACAAAGCATCCAGGTTAAAGCCAGGTTTTAACTTTTTACATAAAATACAGCACGGCAAACATTTTTAGTGGTCCAATTTTTAAAAATAATTTTTCTGTCGGCACAATTTATGTTTTTAAGTATCAGGGTTAACGGAAGGTGCTAGTGTACATGTACTACATCAAAACTCGCATGGATCAATGTAACGTCATGTGCAGTTCAGTTTTTTAATTACTTGGATTTTTATATCAGAACGAAATTGGAATAGCAGATAATTAACGTTAATTTACTGAAATGTTTGCTAATCTGGGACTTTTTTCGTTGAGCTAAGCACAGATAGTATCTGCTTAGCGAAAACCAGTTACCAGCCAAAATATCATGTAGTTTATATTGCTTGTGACTGGTACTCCACTGAATTTTGCTTAGAACATCAATTTGCCTAGCAATATTTTTCTGCTAGAGACTCTTTTGAATTTGGCCAACCTCGTCCCCATGGGTCCGATCTTGCTGCGCCATGGTGGTTCCCATCATGCCTTGCGCGATCTTAACCCCTGGAATTGTGTAATTTACATGTGCCACTATTCAGCACATTTAAATTGGGACTTCGGTCAATGTGTTTAACGTGCGACGCAGTGCCTAAAATTTTGAATTTTTTTTTTGAATCAATCCTTTCAAACATGAGATTTCAACTTTTTTTTTTTTTGGCCAAAAACGAAGCTTCCATAATCCATATCGTATAGCCATCCACAGTCTAGAAAAAAAAATGTTCGGACGTGACGTGATGTGCAGGAGATAACGGTGGCACATCCATGTGGCGTGCAGTCTTTGAAATACCTGCACAGTACACTCTGAATAGTCAATAAGTATCGTTTATGTATTTACCGTGGCCGGGGGTTAGTGAAGGAACACGCACGCAGCCCATGGAGTTGAGGCTGGAATTGGGCCTGTTGTGAAGTTTTTATTTGTTTCATTAGGCCAAAAAAAAAAGTCTCCGGTTTTGGATATCCGGCGCGCGTCGCAAAATTAAAAAAAAAAATTCCACTGTAAGATGTCTTAAAACCGCCAAACTCACTGGTTTGACTGGAATCCTACTGCTGCACAATTTTAACGTGTTTTTCGGTGGGGTTACGATCGAGTATAAGCTTTATGTGGCCTCTCTGGACTCCCATATATTTTGCACTAAATTTAGTCTGGCACCATTTGCAGTCATCAGACGACATTTGAAGAAAAAAAGTTTAAAAAAACAAAAAGCCGCCTCGCCCACCACTTTTGGGGCAATCTCCACACCAGAAACTAGAGACTTTTTTATGGCCTTACATAGTATTTAAGCAATTTCTAAACTTTTTGTTGAATGGTATTTATAAGATTGGGTTTTGCATGATGACTAGGTTTTCTTTTCTTAATTCACACACGTTTCTTTGTCGCACAAGAAATCTCCAAACCTACTGTCTTAAATGAGAAGATATCATTTTGTATATAAATATTTTGTTACTCTTTTGTTTTTACCTGACACAGTAAATCGTGTTGCAAGTAATCGTACGCAATTTCCTGTGTGACATTGCAGAACTAAAAAGTAAACAAAAACTGTTACAAAGTTATTTGTCAACATATTTTTAACCCTTATGCCCAAAGTATTGTTTTTATAAGCCACGGACCAGTGAATTTCAAAAAAATTGATGTCAAAATTGATTTAAATTAAGATTTTTTTCTATAGTTGGTAGTTGATAAAACAAAAAACCTGCTCATATTTTTAATTCTGATTTCCTTTTTACTGATTTTTAATTTTTGGAAGATCAAAAAAATAAAATTCATTTTCCAAACTTTTCTGTAGTAACATTTCATAGAAGAAACAAATTTAAAAAAATTGAAAAGTTGGAAAAATTTAATATTATGTTGCAACAAGAACTGATGAAGTGTTTGATGAATATATCTTTTCAAAAGTTGATATTCTTAGGTCCCTAAAAAGATGTTTAATCCCCCAAAAATCGGAAAGAAAGTGGACATTGAAAAAGATGTATGGATTTTTAATCTATGTAATGAGTAAGATTTATTATGAAAATGATTTATTAATTAATTTCAATCTGTAAGATTTATCGTAAGTATTATTTAGTTTTGTTTTGATTAAGGCCATTGAAAGTTGTTTTCTGTATTTGTCTTTAAAAATGACTGTAAGGCCAGTCGGTATCTACATAACACTTAGATCTCTTTCTTCCCTTAAAACGAGAAAGGTTTTTTAAACAAAAAACTGAGTATAAAGTAATGTTTGGAAGCAATCTTTTTCGAGCAGGCCGCGCCGACCAGACGTGACAAAAATGGCCATGTCTACATTTTGTTGCCAGTTTTCAAACCGGAGAAAATAGCAAGAAAAAAAGAATGTGAAATTTGACATGGTGCAAAATAGCGGTTTTTTCCCCGTTGCCTTAACCATTTTAAAAACATCTTGAATTGTAACTTGTAAGCATTTTATTTGAATGTACAGTTCTATAAAACTTTTTATGTTTATACCTCTGTGTGCACAAAATAATCGGGTACATTTATCTTGTATTATTGCTCCAGATTCTTGTGGGTATTTGTTCCAAATTATTTTGAAGAGATAAATCAGACATCACCTTTACCGGAAAAGGTTTAAGTGGATGACCTAGCTAGCTCATGACCTAGCTAAGACAAAAACCAAATATTTTGAAGGAATAAAAATTGACACAATTTTTTTCTTCATATTTCTGTAACTGTGTTTTAAAAACAACGCACTTCATAACCTTGGAATATTAAAACCATTTGAAAGCGCTTTATTTTTTTAGGCAAAATCTGAATAAAGAAATTGGGTGATTGTAGGCCTACTTTATTTAATATATTTCCCAGAAAAGCAACTTATTACATGTGTAAAAATGTTTGTGTTTACCTGTATAAAATTGTTTCGGGTATTTTATAAGCAGTCGTATACTAATGACTCTTAATGGTGAAAACAATTTGGCAATGTTGATGGTTGTCTATGTGTTTTGCATGAAACTTTTGCATGTTTATTCGACCATGGCTCCATGATTTGATGGACAGCCAACTGTGCATAACGACCACCAAGAAGTTGTACCGCCCTCTGTTGGTGAATTTATGCCAGGTTTCCTGTTGCCTTTTTAGGTGTAGTGTAAATTAAGGACTCTATGGAGCGTGTCTGGTCACGTGGGAGGGTTTTCACTTTAAACCAATGATAGGGTAAATGAGTCCAGATTTGATAGGAGTCCGATTTTCATATGACACCGGGACATGTGAAACCTTGAATGTAATACATGTAGAAAATCTAAAGCATTATTATTTGAATGTTTTCTTTATTTTATTTTTTTTGGTAAAAATGAGGTCCCTTTTCAAACAGAAACAAGATTTACTTTTGGTAACAGAGAACTTGTATATGAATATAAAAACAAAAAAAGTGTGTACTGTTAAGTGAAGGACAATTTCAAAGAATGTTATACGTAAACAAACCTCAAAATTTACCTCCGCAAAATATTCTGATATTGTTTGATTTCCAGTTGAATTAATCATGAAAAGTCTAGATTAACCCAACGCCCATTGCATATGTTTAGAGTGCGAATATGCAGTAACCATTTGTTTTTTCCAAAAAGTCATGCTCTGGAATTTATAGGGTTTTTTTTACTTTTCAAACGTTCAGTAAATTTATCCGACAAAAAAAATCTGCAAACTATATGGCCAAGACAAAAATGTATATAATATACATTATTATTTGTATTGTTATACTTGTATAGAACAGTGGTATTAAAACCATAGTGCAGTTGTCTGCATTTCTATTCAACCAAGTTGAGTACATTTTAATATCGTTGTCTGGAATTGTATTGTTTGTCGTTAATTTTGTTTGAATTTGGTCGAGTAAAAGCCAAATTGCGAAATTCACAATTTGGAAACATTGAAGTAATTCATGAATGCGAGAGGTGTCTCGCTATTAAACATCACACCCATACAGCGTTCCATTTACACGTATAGATTTTATTTTAAATGTCTCGCTTCCAAAGTGGTTTCAAAGGGGGCGCTGTTCAAATCCAACCATGTACAAATACCCAGTAAACAAGCTGTCAATTTTCATAGGCAGACATTACTACCAGTATAATTTTTTGAGGTGTTACAAGGGGAGGGGGTGGTATTGTACTTCTATGCCAAAAAATGTAAACGTTGTCAGCGCTTGGGGAGGGTTTAAACCACCCCCCCCCCCCGGATCTACGCCTTGGAATAAATAAGGAATAAAAGTGGCCCTAAAATCTACCCCTGCGGAACATGAACGTTAAGTAGCAGGAGCTTGATATGTTGCCCTCGATATTCACAGACTGATACGACCACTTAGGTACGACTTAAACCAATTGATTACATAAGTTGACATTTACAGCTTTTTATATTCATCCAGCCTGATTTCGGAGAAATTTTGAAATGAGATGGTGTCTTTATATCATCCCTCGGATTAGTAAAATGTGACGATTTTTTAAGTTAAGAGAAAGGTATGGGACCTTTCAGAAGCTACTGTAAAACTCACTCGAGTATTGCTAAAATTCGTGTTCCTGCCCTAGTGAACAACTGCACTCCGTTATGTTCTTCGTCTCTGCTGCTTATACGAAAAGAAGCAAGGGGAATCTGCAAAGATAAAAGAAATATATCCCATATATTACATTTGTGTGCGTTTTCGAAGCACACTGACAATCTTGCTATCGGATTGAGAAGATGTCATAAAAAAAAAATTGATATGCCATTTCCCGAAGACTGAAGCAACAATTAAAGGTAGAGTCCATCATTTGCAGCCATCCGAAAAGTAACTGGCGTAATTATTGTTGAAAAACTAACTTGGTTGAAAGATAGTAAGGAGACTAAACTCCCTGTGAAATTATTCTTTCTGGGAAGCTGTCATTTTGAAGTTATCAACGAAAGAAGGCATTTCCAACGGTGATTCTTAAGAAGCACCGTAGGAAAATTTAAATTAGTAGTTCGTTTTGTTATTCAGCACAGCGCGCACAAGTATTCGAACGACGCACACGCGCGCGCGGTTGTTATAATTCGTCGGATCAGTGCGCGACGTCGCGCGTATAGTTGCAATTCAAAACAATTCAAAACATGATTCAGCAACTTTTGATTTGAAATTGAGATCTTAGAATGCTGTTTTTCTCGGAATGTACAGATGAAGCTTAGCTGAAACTTCATCAGGTTAGTTGCTCAGTATCCTTCATTAGATTTTGAACTCTTTTGTTGCTTCAAACGAACAAAATGCACAAATTACAAATGATGGACTCTACCTTTAAAGATGAATAATAGAAAAATACATCTAAATCCCTTTTGCTGAATTACCTCAAGAGTTGGTGAAGACTTGCTCTACAAGCAGGTCATCAGTCCTTCCGTCGGTCCTCCTCCCTGCTTCCGGCTCCTTGGGATTTGAATCTTCGTCCAGAATGTCATCTCATCTTGCAGACCGTTATCTCTGCCAGAAGATTAGAAGGAACACATGTAAGAAAATGAGTGTGGGACAATAATTATGCGCCTGTTGTTCTTTTTTATTTGTGGGTTTGTGAAGTTAAGTGATTATTATTTCACATTAAATTTATTTTCCTCTAAGTTCATCGTATTTTTAAAAAATAAGGTATCATTAATCACAAGCACAACAAGCAGAACAAACCTTGAAACATCCTAATACATTTTTTGAAAGGAAAATAACATTACTATTTTTACCTGGGAAATCAGTAATGGGTTGCCCGACAAGCAGGGTCGTCCAGCATCCGTTGTTCCTCCTCCCTGCTTCCGGTTCCTCGTGCCATCAGCTCCTGACATGAGCACTATGGCTTACTGGACCTCCTTATCTAATTGCAAGTTGCTGAAAATAAAAGAAGTCTTCCTAGCGGAGCTAGGTTTGTTACTACAATGTACAGTGGAAATTTGTGACCGGTGATGTGGTATAAACAGAAGGAAAACGTATATTAGTGGTCCTTACCCGACCACTAGAAAACAATCATAGAAAAAGGGAAACTACTCAGATATCTAGGCCTGCAACTGGGTGCAAAGTATCTTACATTAACGACGGTTAGGATAATTAAATTAGTGGCCCTTACCTGACCACTGTAATGGATTCAGCCGTTGAGAAAGACAGCTTAGTTTATTTGGCCTACTGGTCGCGAAGATGATAATTCCAGTATAGACATAGCAACGCGCATCGCTTCAAAGGGAAACAACATTCACATTGCCAATCAGCTATGATCGGACTTACCAGAATTTAAAAGTATCATCGATCAAAACCTCCACTGGTGTCGTGGTTGTTAAAATACAACTGATGTACATTGTTTCACACTGTAAATTCAGGCTTTACACTTTACAAAGCTATTACAAGGTGTATCCGATGTGACAGGTGTAATTACACCTGATTTACAATAAACAAAATTGACACAATTATGGCCCTAACACTGAAGGCAATTATCGATCTTTGCGAAGAAATTATGGAAGAACAAATTGCAAACAGTGTGCATGAGACACAGGCGACAAGGATCAGAAACTATTTCATTTCGCAAAGTAATCGTGGAATCGTTGAAACATTACATTTTTCAAGGGGTCTTTAAGATCTGCCCTATACATCATGTAGAACATTTTTTAAACAAAAGATCTCCAAGAAATGTTGTCGCACAGACAAATAAAGTAGATTTTTAAACATGGCCCTATTTCACTGCAAGAACCAGAGTGAAGTTACAACAGGCGAGGAATACATAGAGTACAAGAAAACTTAGATCCAACATATAAGAGCTTTTAAAGCTTCAAAATAGCTCTTGATACTTAACACATTTAATTGTCTTGGAGTATTTTACACAATGATTCGCACTCAAGACGGGATGATAAGTTTGCAAGAAAATACACATTCGGCTATTGGAGACATTTATACAGAACGGAGGAGTATAAGATCTCTACACTGAACCACATGGCCCTAAAATAGTTTTGCATAATAAATTAGACAGCTTTTTACAAAACAAAGTGTGACATGTTCACATGGCCCTGGAATCCTGTAAATAATCGGTCAAACAATAAAAGAAAATAACGCAAGAACAGTTGGGTTTGTCGAAAATCTCTATACATGGACCTAGGATTTTTTTTTAACAATGAGAATCAATGTAGAACGACGGCGATTAAAGTTTTCTACACATGGCCCTTGGATTTTTTTCACAGTGAGAATCAATGTAAGAACGACGAGAAAATGCATGATAGAAGCGACTGCGGGAATTTTCAAAAAGTTTGATTAGTACACATGGCCCTAAATATATATCGAAAACGAATTGTTACAAACGGAAAAAGATATTTTGTACAATCATGACACTATACATCTCACATTTTTTCGTCTTACGTCATGCAGGAGACATTATTGTACAATATCAAACAAAAAATGTGCAGATGTTGCAAATTGGAAGAGAAGCAGAACGATATACTATACATGGCCCCACCATGATTTCGACATAAAATCCTTACTAGATATATAGCAGGTGCTATGTGGTTTAGCAGTTTTTTAAAACTGGTGCACATAATCGTTCGCCAACTTGAACTCGTATTTTTTTCGCACTCGAACTCAAAACGAACTCGTAATCGTACTCGCACCGTCTGAACCCGAACTCGTGTATAAATTTGTTCACACTTCGAGCACGAACTTCGTTCGCACTCGAACTCAAACACGAACTCGTAATCGTTAACGAACGGTACATTTGTTATTTTAATTCAGGTTAATATCGATCGTCTTATTTTCTTCCCATACACAAACGTATTGGGCAAATTAATGATTAACAACCAGCTTTTTCCGATTTCACGTTCCCGATGCTAGGATTTTTCCTCATTGATTTACTTCCCTTGAGGAATGTCACCTTTTAATATACAGATGTCATTTTTTCCCGGCTATTGGAGAAATTTATACAAAACGAAGGAATATTAGATCTCTACACTGTACCACGTGGCCCTAATATTATTGCATAATAATTAAGAAAGCTTTGTACACAAACAGATTTAAGTAAGACATGTTGACATGGCCCTGGAATCCTGTTAATAATCTGTCATATAAGTACAGAAGATAACACAAGAATTATTTTGGCAGAAATCTATACAAAAACGGCGATGAAAGATTTGTACACATGGCCCTAGTATTTTTTTTTCACAATGAGAATCAATGACGACAATGAAAGTTTTGTACACATACATGGCCCTAGGGGTTTTTCACAATGAGAATCACTGTAGAACGACAAAAAAATGCATGATAGACGCGACTGGAATTTCAAAAGGTTTGATTCGTACACATGTCCCTAAATATCTAACACGAATTGGTACAAACGGAAACAAAAAATATTCCGTACAATTACGACACTATACATCTCACAATGTTTGTCTTTAAATGTCATGCAGGAGACGTTATTGTGCAAGATAAAACGAAAATTTACACGTTGCAAGTTGGACGAGAAGCAAAACGATTTACTACACATGGCCCCACCATGATTTCGACATAAAAGTCCTTTCTCGATAGCAGGTGCAACGTGGGTTACCAGTTTATTTAAGAACTAGTATTTATCCTCATTTATTTACTACCCTTGAGCATTATCACTTTTTATATTTCATTTTTTTTCTCAAGAAAGTACAATTCCGGCTGTTGGAGAAATTCACACAAAACCGAGGAATATAATATCTTTACACTCTATCACATGGCCCTAATATTATTTTGCAAAATAATTTAAACATTTTTTTTCTACAAAAACAAAAAACTTAGTAAGACATGTTCACATGGCCCTGGAAACCTGTAAACAATCTGTCATATAAGTACAGAAGATAACACATGAACAAAATGTCATTTTTCAATCAAACAGAGATCAAATGAAAAGTATGGCCCAATCATAATTCCGCGTAATAATTATTACTCGTACTCGTGTAAATATTTCGTCTTTCTCAATATAGTAGCACCCATCAAGGGTCATGTTATTTTCAATAGTAGCACCCATCAAGGGTGTAGTAGCACCCATCAAGGGTGTCGTCCTTCTCAATAGTAGCACCCATCAAGGGTGTGTCGTTCTTCTCAATAGTTCCACCCATCAAGGGTGTGTCGTTCTTAATTCTCAATAGTTCCACCCATCAAGGGTGTGTCGTTCTTCTCAATAGTTCCACCCATCAAGGGTGTGTCGTTCTAAATTCTCAGTAGTTCCACCCATCAAGGGTGTGTCGTTCTTCTCAATAGTTCCACCCATCAAGGGTGTGTCGTTCTTAATTCTCAATAGTTCCACCCATCAAGGGTGTGTCGTTCTTCTCAATAGTTCCACCCATCAAGGGTGCGTCGTTCTTCTCAATAGTTCCACCCATCAAGGGTGTCGTCTTTCTCAATTATATATAAAATTAACGGCATTCCAATGGACATTATCCAGCACAACAATTTACAGGATTATTTCGCAAAAGTTTTAAAGGAATGAATAATGATCATTTTACACCATTAATTCTTCAAGGTAACTCCTTTGTTTTTATACATAAAATAATCAGCAAACTTAATACAGTTGTGATGCGGCAAAGCTCAAGGCAATGCCATTGATTTGACATTGATTTCTGTTGATATAACATCTCCGGGGTCCGTCTTCGTTCATCGCTGATTCTTCAGTTTGCGTTATTCACATATACATCTCAAAATGTTAACTTTTTTTCATTTCAACGTTATTATTGCTAATGCACCAGGCATTGTCAGGATAACGTTGGTAACAGTTTGTAACTTTTGTGTTCCCTCCCCAATTCCCAAAGTTCCTAATTGTCCCACAAGCTGCTGCTCGCTTTTTGCAGTACGCTGCTCCCTAAACTGTATTTATTTATCATTACTATTATTATTTTCTTACCACCTGCTTTTTATTCACTGTCATGATTATATTTTATTTTATTGATATATTAAAGTTTCCTTTCGGCTTTCATGTTTGTTTTTTAGTATGATGTACATTATGCTGTCTTACTTTGATTATAAACTTGGTTTTATTTTGATATTTATATTTACTAACCTGATTTTATCTTTTATAGAGGGCTTTGTGGCATTTATAAGTGGAAGGCACTATATAATATATTCATTATTAGTTTTATTAGTAGTAGTATTATTTGACTACAAAGCTTTAAAAACGAAAACCTCATCCAGTTTTTCTGAAGTTAAAACGTCTGATATACATTTTCATATTATCTTCCAGTTAATGTGTTATTAGAAAACTGTTTTTATGATTTTTATTCAGTAAAAGATACAATATTTGTATTTGTAAGAGCTCCGTAGTATATGAGTTGATAAAATATATTTTTTTTATCAAGGAAAGTAGACATCTATCATCCGTTTTTAATGAAATAATTAACTGATTTGGTATCGGGAAATATAAATATCAAGATATCGTCTACCAGTGAATAATCATCTCTGGATGACGATATCCTACATGATATCATCAACCCGAGAAATATTTTACTTCCTCGAGAAGATAACATCTCACCCAAAAGATATAGTCAACCCGAGAAATATTTTTTCCTCGAGAAGACGACATCTCACCTTAAAGATATCACCAATCCGTGATGAAATATTATCTCGGAAAGACGATATCTAACCTACAAGATATCATCCACCCGAGATATACTTTTTCTCGAGAAGATGAAATCTGACCTACACGATATCTTCAACCCGAGAAATGTTTTCTTTCTTGGGAAGAGGATATTTCACCTACAAGATATCATCGACCAGAGAATTTTTCTCGAGAAGACAACATCTCACCCTACAAACAAGATATCACCAACCCGTGATGACACAATATCTCGGGAAGACGATGTCTTATTTACAAGATATCATCAACCCGGGAAATATTTTTTTCTCGGGAAGATGGCATCTCACCTACAAGATATCACCAACCCTTTCTCGGGAAGACGATATCATACCTGCAATTATAACATCGCGAAAACTACCCTCAAGATGTCCTCCTATTTTATAAATGACGGATGCTCATCAACCCATGTAACCTTAGAGCTCAGTAACGTGTGTCTAGTTATTTCAAAAACCCAAATTGATATTAAACAAATTTTCTGATATTGATAGCATTGTATTTTTTCCATAAGAATGCACTACCTCGATACGGATGTTTTAATTGACTACCGTTAATTACTTTTTTTAAGGATCAAGCTACGATTTGCCCGATGATTTTTACAGTGCCTCAAAATAGGTAATTTTTGTAACTTTGTAATTGTTTTGTTAAAATATTTTTGTAAGTTAATCATTACACCATGGCTGTGCCAGGTCAAGCTCCCTTACGCTGCTGCTGGTGTGCTCGGCTGCCTACGCGCGCCATGTGCCTATACCCCACCCACCCCGCCTTAATCCTACGCCTTAACCTGAATCGTAATCGTTCATTTAATACAATCATAACTTTGCCTTATTTGCCTTCTTCCAAACGTCGAATTTCGCTGATCTCGATCTCAACAACAGGTCTTCTCCAATTCTTATGAGCTTCAAATAATTCCGTTGGCTATCTTTTAAAATCTACATTTATACAATCATAATCAAAAATTCAGCTCTCCATTATGTTT